GGTCGTCCTCAGTTCCTGGGGCTTCTGTGCCCCCAACCCTGTGGATAAAAAGCCCCCGTATTTCTCACCCCCGCTTTATGGTAGCGTGTCGGGAATAACAGAACCTTTGGTGCCCTCCACTCCGCAGCCCACAGTTTCCTGGAGTGCGTCTGTGTCTCAGGGCGAAGGCAGCCCTGTTAGCCGGGTGCCGTTTGGAGGAAGTGGCGTCCCTGTGTTCTACCTGTCCTGTGTTCCCGCAACCATCCGTCCTCCCGTCGGCCGGCACAGGGGTGTCAGCTGGGGCACTGTCCTGGGGACAGGTGGTGGAGCCGTCCTGGCCGCCTCTGCTTGGACACCCTCAGGCCGACCCCACAGAGTTCCTGAGCCCTCCCAGGCACGTTTTGGGGAGGGTGGCTGGGGGGGAAGCCAGTGCGGGCACCGGGCACCAGTGCTGGGCAGGGGCCATGATTCAGCCCCCCAGGGAGAAGTGGCTCAGCTCTTGGATGTGAATCCACGTTCAGGGGACTGTGGGACTTTTATTCTTGAGCTTGAGTTTCTTTTATGTGTCCTCCTGATACACAGCTGCCCCGCTCTGCCCCAACCCACACGCTTCCAGGAGGCTGGTCCGGGGTCAGGGGTCAGCCTCCTGGCCAGGGCCATCTGTCTCAGCGTCCCAGACCTGCCTGTCTGCAGGTCCCAGGCATCGGTGCGCCGCTGAGGAACTTGGTGAACTCTGTGAACTTGGGCCTGGGTGTGGAGGTGGGGGCCAGAGGCCACCCGCGGAGCGCCGGCCGAACATCCACGCTGGGGACCAAAGGCCTCCAGAAGCCACCGCAGGAGGAGGTGACCTCAGGGAGGGCTGGCTGGGGCTTCTGGGGCCGGACAGTGGGTCTGGGAGGTCCCTTGGTGTCAGCTCCAAGCCCCACCCACCCTTCTCAGACCCTATGCCCCTGCGTGGTATCCCTGAGTTGGGGTGCGTGGGGTGCTGTGTACTGAGCACACAGGTCCCCCAGGTCCCTCCCAGGCACCCTGTCCTCTCACTGCCGAGCCCCGGAACTCACAGGGCTCGCTTGTCTTCTTCGTTCAGACAGAAGCCGCCCCTGGACATCCTGTTTTTCTTCTGTTGTACGAACAGGAAGCCAGCGATTGTGTGAGATGAGTGTCAGCATGGCCGTGTCCAAGCCCGGCATGGCAGAGACTTGTCCGGCTACACCTGCCGCAGGTCCCTCCAGCTCTGGCCCGAGAGACTCAGGGCTCCCCAGTCGCATGGGCTGTGAGCACCATGTGTGCACGGCTGGCCCTGGAACGGCCGGGGCAGGCACTGTGAAGTGTCCGTTGTGCACCGGCCATGGCCTGGAAGGAGACCCAGGCGGTCACTGCCCTGGGACTCAGTGTCAAGGCCACAGTGAAGTGATGGGCGCAGAAGGGCAGGGGCCAGGTGCCAGGCAGGGAGCAGTGGCTGGGGGCCAAGCACAGAGCAGGGGCGCTGAGGGGGCCAGACAGGGAGCAGGGGTGCTGAGGGGGCCAAGCACAGAGCAGGGGTGCTGAGGGGCCAGGCAGGGAGCAGGGCTGCTGAGGGGGCTCCCGGGCAGGCTACTAGGTGCTCAGGAAGCAGCCTCAGGCCCAAGGGGCAGGGTCCGGGTCACTCGGAGGGTGGAAGCTGGGAGGGTGTGGTGGGCCCTGGCTTTGACTTTCAAGGCCAGGGGGCCACGGTGGCGTCCACAAAGAAGTGGCCTGGCCCACCCCATGTTTCTGTAGGATCCTAGGGCTGCACTGTGCTGCGGGGCTGGGCATTGTCTGTGGGCACAGTGTGGAGGCAGGGAGGCCCCTGGGAAGCCGGAGTGGCCCAGGTCGGTGGGAGGTGGGAGGGGAGACCCTGGGCAGACCCTGCCCTCCTGGAGGGTAGAACCAGCAGGACCTGAGCAGGGGCGAAGACCAGCAACACTGACTGGGGAGGGGAGAGGGCTGACATCACCAGCTTCCCACCTGGAAAGGTGGGTCTCGATTCGGTAAAACTTAAAGAGAATAGTAAGGACACCCTGCTTATTGAAGGATGGACTGATTGACAGATTCTCACTCTGTCCCCCAGGCTGGAGGACAGTGGCACAATCGGGGCTCACTGCAGCCTCAACCTCCCAGGCTCCAGCCATGCTCCCACCCCAGCCTCCCGAGTGGCTGGGACCTCAGGCGCCCCACCATACCCAGCTACTTTTATTTATGTATTTGGGTAGAGATGGGGTCTTGCTGTATTGCCCAGGCTGGTCTCAAACTCCAGGGCTCAAGCAAACCACCTGCCTCAGCCTCTCAACGTGCTGGGATGACAGGCGTGAGCCACCACACCCAGCTTCACCTGCCTTTAAAAACATGAAATACACATAACATGAAATTTACCATTTTAACCACTTTCCTGTGTACATTCAGTGACATTAAGTGCATTCACGTGGCTGCAGAGCCGCCACCACTGTCCACCTGCAGAACTTTCTCATCTCATGCATCTGAAGCTCTGCTTTAAAAGAAAATCTGGGCTGGGCACAGTGGCTCGCGCCTGTCATCCCAGCACTTCGGGAGGCTGAGGTGGACGGACCAACTGAGCTCAGGAGTTTGAGACCAGCCTGGCCAACGTGGTGAAAACCCGTCTCTACTGAAAATACAAAAATTAGCCGGGTGTGGTGGTGGCCAGTGCCTGTAATCCCAGCTGCTCGGGAGGCTGAGGCAGGAGAATCACTTGAACCCGGGAGGCGGAGGTTGCAGTGAGCCGAGATCACTCCACTGCACTCCAGCCTGGGCGATAGAGTGAGACTCCATCTCTAAATAAAATATTAAATAACATAAAATAAAAGTCTGTTTTGTTTATTGTGAAGTACAGCCCACATGTAGGAAGGAACGCAGAACACACGATGGGGGCTCCGCACGTGATCGTGAACACACCAGAGCATGCTCTGCCCGGCCCCGCCTGGCCCCATCCCCAGTCCTGCCCAGTCCTATCCCCAGCCCCGCCAGGCCCCATCCCCAGCCATGCCCAGCACCCAGAACGCGGGGCCGGTCACACTGCCTGCCATGGCCACGTGGTGGGGTACGTCCTGCCCACCTGGGCATCCTCCCGGGGCTGATCCACTTGCTCCGTCCTCCTACAGTGGACATTTGGGTGTTCTCAGCCTCTGTGTCCAGGACACTATGTGTAATGGTGGGATGGTTCTGAGTGCAGATGGGAACGCTGGCCCCGTGCCGTCCAGGCCCAGGTGGCTGCAGAGCCGCAGTGGTGGAGCCCGGGCGCCCACGATGTTTTATGGGTTTTTTGTTTGTTTGAGACGGAGTCTCGCTCTGTTGCCCAGGCTGGAGTGCAGTGGCGCGATCTCGGCTCACTGCGAGCTCCGCCTCCTGGGTTCACGCCATTCTCCTGCCTCAACCGAGGCAATCCCGAGTAGCTGGGATTACAGGTGCCTGCCACCACGCCCGGCTAATTTTTGTATTTTTAGTAGAGATGGTGTCTCACCACGTTGGCCAAGCTGGTCTCGAACTCCTGACCTCAAATGATCCACCCGCCTCGGCCTCCCACAGTGCTGGGACGATAGCCAACTGGGTTTTGTTTTGCATGAGCTGCTTTTGTGAGATTTCTCCCAGGGAATCTGACATTGCTGATGCTGTTCTAAGTGATTTTTGAAATGGCCATTTCTGTTTGTTGCTGATTTTCTCACTTTGGCTTGTGTTGAGCATTGATGCCGCACCCATTGGTTAATTCTAACAGCGTAGTTTTGATCCTTTGTGGCTTTCTGCATAATCCCATTGTCGGTGGTCCTGATGTTTCTGTTTCCCTTCTGCATTGGATGCCACCCGCGTGGGACAGCTCCAGGCCGGGCTGGGGCATCCTCACACACTGCCCTGAGCACCACGCCTCACACTCGCGCGTGGCTTTTACCCAGTTCAGGGCGAGTTACTTCTTAAATCGTGAGCTGAACTGAATTTTGGAACACCTGCTCTGTGTCTACCGAAAGGGTCTCGTGGTTCTCTCCTGCATTCCGGTGCTGGGCTGAATCACACCCTTGGGCTATCGAGGTGTCAGCCTGGCTCTCCCGGGTGAGCCCCGTCCCGCACGCTCCTCTGGCGTGTGTGGGAGAATCCAGCTGCTGGGGTCTGATCTGATCTCACGTGAGTCCTCAGCCTCCCTCGCAGCAACACGGGGCCTTCCCTATTCCCGTCCTGCCCTCCAGGGGGGCCCGGCAGCTTCCATGACCCCCAGGTCCGGGGGGAGTTCACTGCGGAATCCACCCAGGCTCCTGCCCCCAGGCCTCCCCTGTGGAGTCCCTGCTGGCAGCCGCCCCTCCCCGGCCTCTGACCCCGACCCCACCACGTGACCAGGCCCGGGTGGGTCCCTGCTCCCCTGGGTGGGGTTGGGGCACCACCGGCCTCCAGGCCAAGCCATGCAGCCCCCAGGTTCTGTCTGGAAACCTCCCTTGGGTCTCACTCTGGCGGCTCTGTCTGTGGGGCAGCGTCTTCGGTCAGCACTTTTGCTGCAGAGCTTGCACAGTGAGGTGGGGGCCTCCCAGTTGGGAATGGAGGGAGGGGGGGTTGCAGGAGGGCGGGGGACCGAGACTTAAAGAGGGCAGGGGCTTGGGGTCCTCATGGTGCCAGGACTGTGGTGCAGGGTTTGGGCGAGAAGATGCTGATGAGGTTGCCCAGGGCGCTGGGCGGAGGAGGTAGAGGCTCAGGCCCACGAGGGCTGCTCTGTGACTGCAGCTGAAAGATGAGGCCCAGCTCCCAGGGCTGAGCGTGGAAATGCTGCTGGGCAGACTCAACTGGTTGGGTGGCTACGGGCCACAGGGAAGGGACACGGGTGAGCCTGGGCCAGAGTGGGTGGCGCCGCACCTGGCGGGTATGTGTGTCGGACAGAGGTGGGGGAGGGCTCCCGGCCCCCAGGTCCAGAGGAGCCCCAGGCGTTGTGGGTCAGTGGGAGGGACTTCCCGGCTGGCTATGCGGCAGTTCCTGCACCTGCCCCTCCCACGGCTGTTATCTTGTCTCCACAGGCCAGGACCCCCTCCTGCTCCTGCAGGCCCTGCAGACCCTGTGGTCCACGTGGGAGCGGCAGCAGGTAAGTGGATGTGGCTGCCACGGGGGCCGAGTCACAGCTGGCAGAACTGACTGTTGGGCAGAGACTGGCCTAACAGGAGGCCTCCCTGTTCGGGAAGCTGCACAGCCCCCCACGGCCACAGGGTCCTGTGGTAGTGGCTGCCCCAGACTGCATCCAGGGTGGCCTGTGTGGGGCAGGGGGCGGTCTTCCTCAAGGCCCCAGGGTGGTAAAGGCCCTACCTGGCCCCAGCAGCCCCTCTGAGGTCACCTCTGGGAGATGCAGGGTCCACTTATCTGCAGGGACACAGCTGTCACCAGCACTGCCAGGCCTGAGGCCCCATCCTGCCACCACCAGGGCACCCAGACCCGGGGTGGCCACTGGGGCAGGTGTCCAGGTGTCCAGGGCAGGGAGGCCTTAGGAAGGAGGAGGACTTGAGCAGGGCAGGAGGCTGGGTGGGAGAGGCCGGGGGAGAGGCTGCAGAGGGAGGGCCGGCCACCCGTGGGGGCAGACGCGGATTCCGATTCCTTAGTGGCAATGGCCTGTGCACGGGAGGCTGCCAAGTCCTGAGTGCCACGTCTGCTGGCCCGAGGTTGCTCCTGCAGGTCCAGGGGACGCCCTCCAACCCCAGCCCAACTCCTGAGTGCCACATCCCCTGACCCGAGGTCACCCCTGCAGGCCCAGGGGACGCCCTCCAACCCCAGCCCTGGCGCTGCCTGCTCCTGCGTCTGCCTCCCTCCTGCACCCGCCTCTGCCAGCTTTTGTTTGTCCGTCAGCTCGGTGGCTTCTTGGGCCTCCAGCTTGTGAATCTCTGTCCTTGCCTTTGAGATTTCCCTCTGTTCCGTTTCCAGGCTCTTGTTGGACCTTCGTCTGTGACGCTCAGTCTCCCTCGCTCTCTGGCAGCTGTGTGTGCAGTGTGAGCCTCCCCGGGTCCCGCCCTCCACGCACCCACGTGTCTGAGTTGTGGGATTCCACCGTCCTTTCCTCCCTATGTCCTGACGTTCATCCTGGCATCTCCTTTGAGCAGCGCTTGTTTCTACACAGACAGGGCTGCAAACTGCTTCAGGCCCCGCTGACAGTCATGAGGCCCTAGTGCGTTTCATCGTCATGGGGAACCTGTGCCTGTGCCCTCGCCGCCTCCCTGTGCCCTCGCCGCCTCCCCGCGCCCTGGCCGCCGCCTCCTCATGTTCTTACCGCACCCCCGCGCCCTCACCTCCTCCTCGCGCTCTCACCTCCTCCTCTCGCTGTCACCTCCTTCTCGCACTCTCACCTCCTCCTCGTGCTCTTACCGCCCCCCACGCCGCGCCCTCACCTCCTCCCCGTGCCCTTGCCTCCTCCTCATGCTCTCACCTCCTCCTGGCACCTCCATCACATTCCCGGGTTCCAGCAAGCTGGCGAATGCCACCTGCCCAGGGGCCCTGGGTGGGCCAGGAACCTTGAAGATGAGGTCCTTTGGGGTCCTGGGTGCTGAAGAGAAGCCCAACCCTAGAGCTGGCTGCACATGGAGGTCCTGGAGACCCCCATATGGTGGCATAGACACCAGGTGCCCCCACAGGAGGGAGATGGAGACCAGGATTTTGGAGAACTCCTTGGGGCAGTCTGCAATATAAAGGGGGGAAATGGGACTGTTGGCGGTCTGGGAGGGCTGTGGGTGTTCCTCTAAAATGAGAGGGGAGCCAGCATGCTGGACGAGTGAGAGCAACCTGGGAGAGGGGCAGGAGGAGGAGGCAGGGCTGGAACAGGGCTAGGGCCTGGAGTAGATGCAGTCCCAGAGTGGGGCTCCCCTGGTTCATTGGACCCTTCCCAGCCCCACTGCCCAGCAGCCTGTGATGGGGCGGTCCTGTCTTTTTGTTTTTGTTTTTTTTTGTGAGACAGAGTCTTGCTCTGTCACCCAGACTGGAGTGCAGTGGCACAATCTCGGCTCACTGTAACCTCCGCCTCCCAGATTCAAGTGATTCTCTTGCCTCAACCTCCTGAGTAGCTGGGATTACAGGTGTGCAACACCACGCCTGGCTATTTTTGTTTTTCTAGTAGAGACAGGGTTTCGCCATGTTGGCCAGGCTAATCTTGAACTCTTGACCTCAAGCAATCTGCCTGCCTCGACTTCCCAAAGTGGTCCTGTTCTAACAGCCCCTCAGGGGGCCTTCTGGTACTGCTGAGCCCATGGGACCAACCCCCCACCCCCACCACTGAAGCTGTGAGTGGAGCCAACAGCTCAGTGCAGGGGATGCCAGCCGGCAGCAGGGAAGAGGGATACCGGTGGGCAGGATTGGGGGGGACGCCCGGAGGGGGTTGGGGTGGGGGGGATACCAGTGGGGGGATTGAGGAAGACGCCCAGAGGGGGGTTGGGGAGGAGGGGGGATACTGGCAGGGGGGACTGGGGGGGACGCCCGGAGGGGGTTGGGGTGGGGAGGCTCACGTTGTTTTCTCCATGCACAGCCGGGGGCTCTCTGTAGCTGAGGGGATCAGTAATGAGGAATGAAGACCAGTGAGGGGCTCGAAGGGAGGAGGGGCCGGCGATCCCATCACACAGACGCCCCCACTCCCTTCAGCCCGAGGCCCAGTCACCGCTCACCCGCAAACCCGTACCCATCACACACATGCCCCCCACTCCCCTCGGCCCCAGGCCCAGTCACCGCTCACACACCCGCAAACCCGTACCCATCACACACACGCCCCTACTCCCTGGCCCCAGGCAGTCACCGCTCACCCGCAAACCCGGTACCCATCACACACACGCCCCCCACTCCCTCGGCCCCAGGCCCAGTCACTGCTCACCTGCAAACCCCGTGCCCATCACACACACGCCCCCCACTCCCCTAGGCCCCAGGCCAGTCACCGCTCACCCGCAAACCCCGTACCCATCACACACACGCCCCCACTCCCCTCGGCCCCAGGCCCAGTCACCGCTCACCCGCAAACCCCGTACCCATCACACACACGCCCCCACTCCCCTCGGCCCCAGGCCCAGTCACTGCTCACCTGCAAACCCCGTACCCATCACACACACGCCCCCACTCCCCTCGGCCCCAGGCCCAGTCACCGCTCACCCGCAAACCCGTACCATACACACATGCCCCCACTCCTGAAGCCCCAGGCCAGTCACTGCTCACCTGCAAACCCCGTACCCATCACACACCGCCCCCACTCCCTCGGCCCCAGGCCAGTCGCTCACACCTGCAAACCCCGTACCCATCACACACCGCCCCCACTCCCCTCGGCCCCAGGCAGTCACACAGCTACCCGCAAGCCCCGTACCCATCACACACGCCACTCCCCTCGGCCCAGGCCAGTCACCGCTCACCTGCCACACACGCCCCCACTCCCCTCGGCCCCAGGCCCAGTCACCGCTCACCTGCTTTCTGCCTCTGGATTTGCCACTTCTGGACAGTTCACACACGTGCGATCATATAACATGGGGTCTTTTGTGACTTGCTTCTTCATTTAGCACGATATCAAGGCTTTGTCCACGTGGAAGTCTGTGTCAGCTTCCTCCTTTTCCTTGGCTGAGTAATACGTGGCCAGGCCGCACGCTGTTTCTCTGTACACAGCTGAAGGGCATCTGGGCCATCTCCACCTCTGGCTGTTGTGAACAAGTACTTCTCTGAAAATTCATCTACAAACATCTGCTTGAGCCCCTGTTTTTAAATCTTTGGGGAGGATAGGTGTGGTAGCTCATGGCTGTAATCCCAGCATTTTGGGAGGCTGAGATGGGAGGATCACCTGAGGCCAGGAGTTCAAGACCAGCTTGGCCAACATGGCGAAACCCCATCTCAACCAAAAAATACAACAATTAGCAGAGCGTGGTGGCGTGCACCTGTAGTCCCCGCTGCTTACGAGGCTGAGGCAGGAGAATCACTTGAACCCCAGAGGCGGAGGTTGCAATGAGCCAAGATCGTGCCACTGCACTCCAGCCTGGACGACAGAGGGAGACTCCATCTCAAAAAAAAATTTTTTTTTAGTAAATAAATAAGTAAATCTTTGGGAACCTGCCTGGGAATAGAATTGCTAGATCATGTGGTAATTGTGTTTATCTTTTGAGGAACTGTCAAACTAGTGCTTTTATTAAAAATTTCAGCCAAATGCAGTGGCTCATGCCTGTAATCCCAGCACTTCGGGAGGCCAAGGTGAGCAGATTACAAGGTCAGGAGTTCGAGACCAGTCTGGCCAACGTAGTGAAACCCTGTCTCTACTAAAAATACAAAACCTTGGCCAGGCATGGTGGTGTGCACCTGTAATCCCAGCTACCTGGGAGGCTGAGGCAGGAAAATCGCTTAAACCCAGGAGGCAGCGATTGCAGTGAGCCAAGATCGCACCACTGCACTCTAGCCTGGGCGACAGAGCAAGACTGTGTCTCAAAAAAAAATTCAATGACCGGTGGCTCAAGCCTGTAATCCCAGCACTTTGGGAGGCCTAGACGGGCGGATCACGAGGTCAGAAGATCGACACCACCCTGGCTAACACGGTGAAACCCCGTCTCTACTAAAAAATACAAAAAACTAGCCGGGTAAGGTGGCGGGTGCCTGTAGTCCCAGCTACTCGGGAGGTTGAGGCAGGAGAATGGCGTGAACCCGGGAGGCAGAGCTTGCAGTGAGCTGAGATCCGGCCACTACACTCCAGCCTGGACGACAGAGCGAGACTCCGTCTCAAAAAAAAAAAAAAAAAAAAATTCAATGACTATATTTTGTTTTCAAAGTTCTCTTAGGTTTCCTCCCTCTCTTCCTTCCTTTCTTTCTTTTTTGACACAGTCTGGTTCTACATCGCCTAGACTGGAGTGCAGTGCTGCAGTCTTGGCTCACTGCAACCTCTGCCTCCCAGGTTCAAGCGATTCTCCTGCCTCAGCCTCTCAAGTAGCTGGGACTACAGGTTCCACTATGCTGGCTAATTTCTTGTATTTTTGGTAGAGATGGAGTTCCGCCATGTTGCACAGACTTGTCTTGAACTCCTGAGCTCAAGCTATCAGCCCGCCTCGTCCTCTCAAAGTGCTGGGATTCCAGGCATGGCCACCGTGCCCAGCTGATGCGTCGTTTCTGTGCTTGTCCACCGATTCTTTGTGTTTGGCTGTAACCACAATGCATGCTCAGGTGCTCACTGCTGCTCAGAGAGTCCAGGTCACAGGAATGAGGTCTGGTAGAAAGAAAGTGACTTTTTATTCTGTAGGTGGTTTGAGGGACGAAGTGCAGGCCTCATGCCTGACGGGTATGGCTTAGCTTTTGGAGCAGAAAGAGATGCTTTTTTTTTTTTTTTTTGTGGAGATGGAATTTCTCTCTTGTCACCCAGGCTGGAGTGCCATGGCGCAATCTCGGCTCACCACGACCTCCACCTCCTGGGTTTAAGTGATCATCCTGCCTCAGCCTCCCGAGCAGCTGGGATTACAGGCATGTGCCACCACGCCCAGCTAATTTTGTATTTTTTAGTAGAGATGGGGTTTCTCCGTGTTGGTCAGGCTGGTCTTGAACTCCCGACCTCAGGTGATCCACCTGCCTCAACCTCCCAAAGTGCTGGGATTACAGGCGTGAACCACTGTGCCTGGCCAAAAGAGGCATTTTTAAAAGGTCGGGAGGAAGCGAGGAGGTGGGGGGGTCTCTGTGTCTTATCTACCTGGAAGTTGAGTTGGCGTCTCCATGGGCAGAAAGAGGCTGTGAAGGTGGCCGGAAACTCCAACAGGCACACTTTGGGCTGTAAATCAACTTGTCTCTTGAGGCGGCCTCCTGCGGGCAAGAGTTCTGCTCTGAACCTCTAAGCACATGAGCTTGCCCTGTAGGAAGTGTCTGGTGAACAGGAGGTGAAAGGCTATCATTGCATTTCTAAAGAAATAAGAAGTGGGGAAGGAGGAAGGAGAAGAGAAGAGAGAGTAAAACAGAAGTGAACTATCATTTAGGAGAATGGGAGTCATTGCTTACACATTCGCAAATCGATGTCCTGTAACTCCACATTATCAGAGCTTTGATCAACTTACTTGCAGCTGTCACTCATGGTGGCTTTCTTCCTTATGTGTTTTCTAAGTTTTCATTGTGAGCTCGTTTACTGGAACTTTTTCCCTCTGGTGACCTAGGGCCCACGCATCCCAGCAAAGTGGTTAAAGAATGATGCTTTGCTTCTGCCAACTAACTACAGATAGAACTCACTAGGGATAGAACTCACTAGGGCTGGAACTCACTAGGGCTAGAACTCACTAGAGCTAGAACTTGCTAGGGCTAGGACTTGCTAGGGCTAGAACTCACTAGAGCTAGAACTCACTAGGGCTAGGACTTGCTAGGGCTAGAACTCACTAGAGCTAGAACTCACTAGGGCTAGAACTTGCTAGGGCTAGAACTCGCTAGGGCTAGAACTCACGAGAGGTAGAACTCACTAGAGGACCTGGAACTCGCTAGAGCTGGAACATGCTAGAGTTAGAACTCCCTAGAGCTAGAACTTGCTAGGGCTGGAACTTGCTAGATCTAGAACTCGCTAGGGCTAGAACTCACTAGGCCTAGAACTCACAAGAACTAGAACTCACAAGAGCTAAAACTCACTAGAGGATCTGGAACTCACTAGAGCTGGAACACACTAGAGTTAGAACTTTCTCACTAGAGCTAGAATTCAATAGAACTATAACTCACTAGGGCTATAACTCACTAGGGATAGAACTCACTGGAGCTAGAACTCATGAGAGCTAGAACTCGCTAGAGCTAGAACTTGCTAGAGTTAGAACTCGCTAGAGTTAGAACTGAGGGCTAGAACTCACTAGAGCCAGAACTCACTAGAGTTAGAACTCACTAGGGCTAGAACTCACGAGAGCTAGAACTCACTAGAGCTAGAACTCGCTAGAGTTAGAACTCACTACGGCTAGAACTCACGAGAGCTAGAACTTGCTAGAACTAGAACTCGCTAGAGTTAGAACTCAAGAGAGTTAGAACTCACGAGAGCTAGAACTTACTAGGGCTAGAACTCGCTAGAGCTAGAACTCACTAGGGCTGGAACTCATTAGAGTTAGAACTCACTAGGGCTAGAACTCACTAGGGTTAGAACTCACTAGAGCTAGAACTCACTAGGGCTAGAACTCACTAGGGTTAGAACTCACTAGAGCTAGAACTCACTAGAGCTAGAACTCACAAAGCTAGACCTTACTAGGGGCTAGAACTCCTGAGGAGCAGAACTGCTAGAGCTAAAAAAACTCACTAGAGCTACAACTCGCTAGAGCTAGAACTCCTCTCTAGGGCTAGAACTCACTAAGAGTTAGAACTCACTAGGGCTAGAACTTGCACAGGATAGAACTCACTTTAAGACTGGACCTCACTGGAAGTTGGAGCTCACTAGGACTAGAGGCTCAATAGAGTCAGAACTCACTGAGGGCTAGAACTCACTGGGGTTAGAACTCACTAGGCACAAGAACTCACTAGAGCTGGAACTCACTATGCTGGGGCATTTAGAACTCGCTTGAGCTAGAACTCACTGAGTTAGAACTCACTGAAGGCCGGGCGCGTGAAACTCTACAAGCCTGTAATCCCAGCACTTTGGGGGCCGAGACGGGCGGATCACAGGTCAGGAATTCGAGACCATCCTGGTAACACGGTAGGCATCTCCTACTTAGAAATACAAAAAAACTGGCCGGGCGAGGTGGCGAGCACCCAGCAGTCCCAGCTGCTCGGGAAGCTGAGGCAGGAGAATGCTGTAAACCGGGAGGCTGAGCTTGCAGTGACGGAGATCCGGCCACTGCACTCCAGCCCGGGCGGCAGAGCCTGACTCCGTCTCCAAAGAAAAAACTCACTAGAGCTAGAACTCATGAAAGCTAGGAGCTTACTGGGGCTGCAGAACTCTGCAAGGGGCTAGAACTCACTAGAACTAGAACTTGCTAGAGCTAGGAGCGCTCACTAGAGCTAGGGTTTGCTTTAGAGCTAGAACTCACTAGAGCTAGGACTCACTAGAGGCTAGAGAACTTTCACTGGAAGCTAAAACTCACTAGGACTAGAGCTCAATCAAGTTAGAACTCACTAGAGCTAGAACTCACTAGAGCTGGAACTCACTAGAGTTAGAACTCACTTGAGCTAGAACTCACTAAGGTTAGAACTCACTAGAGCTAGAACTCACAAAGCTAGAACTTAGGGATAGAACTGAGGCTAGAACTCACTCAGAGCTGGGAACTTGCTGGAGCTGGGAGCTCACTAGGACTGGAGCTCAATCGGGTTAGAGCTCTACACTGGGGCTAGAACTCACTGGGGTTGCAAGTTTCGCTAGGCTAGAACTCACACATCTAGAAGCTGGAGCTCACTAGAGTTGGGAACTCGCAGGCTAGAACTCACTAGGATTAGAACTCACTAGAGCTGGGCTTTCACTAAAGATTAGAACTCACCACCTACAGAGCTGGGAGCAACTAGAGCTAGAATTTCACTAGAAGCTAGGACTCACTAGGGTCACAGAAGAGCTCACAAGGCACTTTAGAACTCCAGTAGGGCTGGAACTTACTAGAAGTTGGAACTCACTAGAGTTGGAACTCACTGGAGGCTGGACCTCCAGGAGAGCTAGAACTCACTAGAGCTAGAACTCACTAGAGTTAGAACTCACTAGGGCTGGAAATCACTAGAGCTGGAACTCACTAGAGGCTGGACCTCACTAGAGTTAGAACTCACTAGGTAGAGCACTAGAGGCTGGAACTCACTAAAGCTAGAACTCACTGGGGCTAGGGAGCTCACTAGGAGTTAGAACTCACTAGAGTTAGAATTCACTGAGTGAGTTGGGAACTCACTAGAGCTGGAACTCACTTAGAGCTGGACCTCAGTAGAGTTGGGGCTGCTAGGCTAGAACTCACTGCTAGGCTAAGAACTTTCACTCAGGCTAAGAGCTACGAACTCACTAGAGTTAGAATTCACTGAGTGAGTTAGAACTCACTAGAGCTGGAACTCACTAGAGCTGGACCTCAGTAGAGTTAGAACTCACTAGAGCTAGAACTCACTAGAGCTAGAACTCACTCGGGCTAAAACTACGTTCCTGGAGCACCTTCAAGTTCCAGATGCATGAGACGCTCAGACTTTGTTTCAGGATGACTTTCCGTTTCTTCCCAGAGTCCAGAGGGACAGACAAGCTGCCTTTCACCCTCTCTGGCCACTTTCCCCGAGGGGCATCCTTTGGAGGGTCTCGACTTTCCAGCCTTTCCTCCTGCCCCTGTGGGTGTCACACCCTCCTGGACAGTGCTGAGGTCTCCTCATGCACTCACCTGCGTGTATCCGCGGCTGTTCCCAGGTGTTTGTGGGGAGAGCTGTCAGGTGCTGGGAGCCGAAGTGTACCTTTCGTTTCAGTAAGCTTGCCAAATCTCCAGAGCACGGTGCTTTCAAAGCTGCGTGGCAGCCTCAGGGTGTTGCTCCTGGAGCCCCACGGAGAGCACACCGTCCACATCGCAGGGACGAGAACAGCACGGCCCACGCTTTCGGCTTGCAGCCTCCCTGGGCCTCTGGGGGCGCATCCCGTGGCTGGCACCAGCAGCTGGGAACTCGCCCTCTTGCCCACCTGCGTGGCCGTGGGCTTCAGGGTAGGGTGTCGGCTGCTGTGCTCTGTCCCGAGTGCTGAGCTGTGAACCTGCCCACCCCTTTAGCTCTTAGGATTCCACCTGCGGAATGACCTGCAAGCATTCGTTGTGGTTTGCAGCAAATAGCAGCTGAATGGCTTGCGGGCATCCACAGAGGATGGCGCCAACGAGGCTGCCCGCAGCAGCAAGGGCCGACTTGCTTTAGAATCTTCCGGAAGCCAGAGACCAAAACAGACACTTTGCTTCTCTTTGTCCGCCTCTTACCCGTTTCCCAAATCTCCTGTGGGTCAGGGATAGAAAAGTACCTAAAAGGCATTTTTCATTTTGGGTTTTGGTTCTTGCCTTTCAGTTTCTTTCGCCTGCTGAGGGCAGGTCAGGCCCATGTCCCGAGAGCGCCACAGGTGAAGTGACTTGTGAACCTGTGTCTGGGGCTGCGGTCGCCTCCCAGGCCAGCGGCCCTCTGTCTGCCTGGAGAACAGGCCCTCTGTCTTTATGGGATAATTAGTGCAGACAATGACCGCCGCCCCTGGGGGCCTGCAGTGCAGCGGACCAGAACGGAATCTCCTCAGCGGCATGAAAAGTCAGGGGGGCGGATGGTGGCTGAATGGCCACAGTTACCTTCTGAATGGATTAGATTTTGAAAACCTCTCTGCGGTGGGGAGGCCTTGCCAGGAGACTCTGAGTGCAAGACAAAGTGACAGTGTGGTTTTGTGTCTCCACAGCTCCAGGAGGAAGCCTGGCGGGGGTTTGCTGCCCTGGACGACCCCCTGGCGGGGCTTCTGGACATGCTGGAGAGCTGCCGGGGCCGGCGGGGAGAGGGCCCCTCCCTGGAGGCCTGGATCTCCCGCCAGCTGCAGTGCTGGCTACAGGCACAGCCACGCCCGAGCCCTGCCCAGGTGAGCCCGTGGGCTCTGTGACAGTCACCTCCCTTCCTGTCCCTGCCCCTCAGCACAGTGGACCTGGCACCCACCTGCTCAGGCCTCTGCAGCCTGCTGAGCAAGCTGGGGAAGGGCAGGGGGATGCTGGGAGCTGTGGCCAAGAACCAGCCCGTGGCTTCATCCTCAGCCCCATGACAGTCATGTGCTGAGACCAGCCTCGCCCCTCCCATGCCCCAGCCCTGCAGGCCACCTGATGCCCACACATGGCCACAGTGGCAGGCACTGCCTCCTAAGCCCAGCCTGCTCCAGTCGGCCCCACAGCCCAGCCACTGGGTGCTACATCCGGTAAGGCTGGGTCCCTGCCCTTCCAGCACAGCCTGAGGCTGAAGCAGCTGCAGGCCCGAGCGATCCGAGTCCTCACTGAGAGCCCCCCAAGCCTTGTGGCACCGCTGACCAGCATCTTCCAGCTGCAGGATGCAGACAGGAGCTGCCTGCTGGTGCACGTCCACCGCCTCCACCAGGAGGGCAGGTTCAGAGAAGTGAGTGGCCCACATGGCGGGGTCCATGGGGAAAGGGCTTCTCAGGCGGCGGGGCAAGGACGTGCCTGGCTCAGGGCCGCCTCTATGTGGGGGCTGTTTGGGGCTTCTTTTCTACATGGGGGTATCCAGGACCCGGCCGTGGGCAGCCATCAGCTGTACGTGGGGTGCCGGGTCCCAGGAGCCCTCAGGCTGCCTGAGCCAACAGACAGTCCAGGGCACAGCCTGGTCCCAGGCCTGGGTCTCCCCCTGCCAACCCTGTGTCTCCCGGTACCCATGGGGCCCTCACACTCACAGGGTCCTAGGTGGGCCTGGGCCTGAGCTTTGGTCGAGCCATACCCCACCATGCCTGTTAGCCTCCGTCCCTCCGGAACCTTCACAGGATCACCCGGGAGGCTACCCTTTGTGGGTGAGTTTGCCTCCTGGGCACTGGGTCCCCAGCACGGCAGCGAGTGCCCTGGAAGGAAACGCTCCTGGGAGGGGCTGAGCAGAGGGGCTGTGGGAGCAGCTGGTGCTGGCCCCGCCGCCCACAGCACCCCCAGAGTGGTGCCCACTCACAGGCCCAGTGTGGGCAGTGCCGGCGCCTGGGACACAGGACGAGGTTCAGGGCCAGGGCACCAGTCGCGCCTTGGCACGGTCACCCAGGTGCGAAGTACGTCCGGTCAGTATCCAACCCCTCATTGGCTGCTGGCAGGAGAGGTGGCTTCGGTCCCTTGCTGTCCGGGACCAGGTCTTAAGAAGTGTCGCAGAAGCGTGGGGTTGGCAGCTAAAGATGTCTGGATAAGAATTGGTGGAGCTTTTGGAATCATGGTGGTTTGCTGAGTCTCCTTTGTGAACAAGGCTGACTTTTAAGCCCAGAAGGTTCCAAGAGGAAGACCAGGTACTAGCACCGCAGCCCCGTCGTCCTGAGTCTGGCCAAGCTGTGCCTTGGGTTTGTGTGGAGCAGTAGGGAGCGGCGGGGCCTGCAGTGGGTAGGGAGGCGGCCGTCTTGCGTGGGGTGGCTCTGAGCTGTTCCCGCAGGTGCAGGGGTGCCCCCATGACTTCTCGGTGCCCTGAGATTGCAGATCCCAGTGCAGATTCCAGGGTGCAGCAAGAGGTGCAGCAAAGAAGCCCAGGGGTGTCCTGCCAGGGGATGTCCTGCTTGGGGGTGCCTGGCCTGGGGGTCCTCGGCTCAGGTTGCACTGACCGTGTATGAGGAAGCCAGCACTCAGGGGCATTGGTCCGCCCCCCGCCCCGTCAGGGTCCCCTTACTTCAGGGTGGAGCATGATGGGCACCACCCCGCGGCCTGCCCACATGGGACCCTGCTGCTGAGGCTGTCCCGCTGGCCCCCGGATTCCTCTTCTCAGCACGACCCCTCACTGCGAGCAGGTGCATCGGAACCTGGGCACGGGCACTAGGGGTTGCCCTGGCTGGGCCCTCACAGGAGTGTACCCTGCGTCGGCCGCGCGGGGCCCCACCCCCAGCACTGTCGCCTGCCACGCCCGGGGCTGTCGTCTCGAGGCGGGTGCATGGCGCTGAGAAGCCACGATGGTCGGGCACGGGACAATGCAGGATGGAGGGTCCCGCTCATGTGGCTGAATGGCGGCCGTGCCTGCGGAGAGCGCAGGGAGGCAGAAGGCAGGCTAGTGTTTCGGGCCGTCTTCTGTTACAGAGCCTTTCAAAGGCTGTCTGGGGCCGGCTGAATGCGCCTCCCTCGCACTCCGAAGCAGGAATCCCCACACAAAGGGGGTCTTGTCCCGCACAGGCCCCTTCTGCGAAGAAAGCCATTGTCCCCGAGCGGGGCCGCCCGGCAGGCAATGCATGCTCCACTGCTCACCGCCGCGCCCGGCCGAAAGGGGCCGCATTCAGGCCTGTCCGCTCGGATTAGCCGGGACTCACGACTCAATGTGCTGCGATATTTCATGTCGAGGGCAGCGGCTGGCCTGGGCGGGATGAATGCCTGCTTTTGTCCGCTGAGTTATTTTATTTACATTTTTTAAACAGCTTATCAAGGTAAAAAGATAGCTTTGCTTTAAAAAAAAAAAAAAAAAAAAAGGCCCTCTTGGCTCCAGGCCCACGCAGAGGTGGGAGGCAGGGCTGTCGCTGGGGTCCTCGGCCTTCCAGCCTGGGCACCTGCCCAGCCTTCCTGCCCCTCAGAGTGGGGGGCCCAGGGGAGCTGGGGAATGCCCTTCCCAATGGTTGGCACCACAACCCCTCCGGATTTTCTTTCTTTTTTTTTTTTTTTCTTTTCCCTGAAAGCAGCAGCTCCTGGGCCTGCCTAGAGGTTTCTGCAGCCCCACCCCGACCCAGCCAGCTGGACAGCCTCATCTCTGTCTTCCTGGTGGATGCCCCCCATCCTCTGGCAGCAGAGGTTGGGGAGGTCTGCCTGGTGCAGAGGGGCCCGGTTTGCCCCATCTGTCCTCGTGACCCAGCCCCGGGCTTGTTCCTCCCATGGGGTCCAGGACTCTTCACCTTCTGCTGTCTGCTCCCTGGGCCTGGCTCTGGGGCCAGGTGACCTTTTTGTGGCTGCTGAGTTTCCCAAGTGGCCAGGCGTGGACAGTGGGCAGCTGTATACCGTCCTCTCAGGGAAGTGCAGACAGAAATGACCAGACACTGATTCTGAGCCAGGCACCACCACAATGAAGGAGCCGTGCAGGGCTCTGAAGCCTGAGACAGGGGTCCGGCCAGGGAGCTTCCTGGAAGGGGTGGGTATGCTGCTTGCCACCCCCCAGCCCTCCACCCCTATCACCAAGGCTGCCCCTGAGGAAGCCTGGGCTCTGCCCTTTCCAGGGTGGAGCTGAGGGAGCTCCATCCTTGTCCTGTTCCCTGAGCTGCCAGGTCACAGAGCCTCCACCAGGCTCCAGGTACAAAATGCGGACACAGAGGCTGGGGGCCCCAGGACCCCTGCATGTCCAGAAAGCCCACCTGGCTTCAAGAGGCCCCGGGTGCCCAGAGAGCTCCTGCAGGCCTAGAAAGAAAGGTCCAGACACCTGTTAGCCCTGGGCTCTGAATGGCTGTGGAGAAAAGAAGGGCTGAGCTGGACACCTTGAACCCCCTCTGATGGGGTTGCAGTGTGCAGGACAGGGAGGCAGAAGCCGCCCAGCTGGGGAACACAGCCCGCACCCAGCCCCGCCCAGGCTCCTCCCCAAGCCTGAGGCCTCCTTCTTGGGCTCAGAGGGGTTCCTGGATGGGCGGGGCCCGCCGAGGGCTGGGACCTGGAGCCTGAAGTCTGTCCTCAGAGGGAGGCCAGGGGCAGCAGCGGTGAGGAGAGGCCCTGGCCACCTGCCCCTTGCTGTGCCCCCAGCCTCCCTGGTCCCAGTGTCACCTGCTGAGGGCCTGTTCCCAAGGACGTGACGGGTGCAGTCCCATCCTCCACCCCGCTGCACCTGACAGTGCCCAAATGGGGCAGGAGGAGCAGAGCCAGGGCGGGCTGTGACCACCCTGTGGTTCTGAACGTGGTGAAGGTCCAGGTCTGCACTCCTGCCTTCCCGAGCTCTGGCAGCTTCTCAGGGGGTCCCTAGTCCAGAAGGGGTCAGAGCCCTTGTATGAAGCTGTGGGTGTCACTGCTGGGGTGGTCCCCATGTGGTGGCCCCTGCGCCCATGCACACGGCCCTAAGCCTACCTCCCAGGCCCCGTGCCCCTCCCCAGCCCTGCGCTCCTTCCCACGGCCCTGAGGCCCTTCCCCTTGGCCCTGAGACCCCGCCCCGGGCCCCGCGCTCCTCCCCACAGCCCTGAGACCCCGCCCCGGCCCTGCTCCCCTCCCCACGACTCCGAGACCCCCACGCCCTGGGCCTTGCGCCCCTCCCCACAGCCCTGAGACCCCTTCCCCGGGCCCTGCGCCCCTCCCCACACGGCTCTTAGACTCCTCCGCACCCAGCCCCGACCCTGCACCCCTTCCCCCCGGCCCTGCGCCCCTCCCCACGGGCCTGAGACTCCCTCCCCGGGCCAGGCGCCCCACCCCACAGCCCTGAGGCCCCGCCCCGGCCCTTCGACCCTCCCCACGGCCCTGAGACCCCCCGCGCCAGGCCCTGCGCCCTGTGGGCCTGGTGGAGGCCTAGCCTCTTGGACCCTGGCCAGACAGTGGAGGCGCCGGGTCAGCGCTGCGCAGGGAAAGGCCCCCGGCCCTGCGCCCCCACCCTGTGCACCGGGGCTGGAAGCCGGGCTCGAGGCTTTCCCAGGCCGCTATTTTGGTCCTTTCTCTGGGCTGCGTGGGGGCAGGGCGCCTATGCTCCGCGGGCTGCTCTCGTGGGTCATTTTTGCTGGTTATGGGAGCGCGGCTTATGGAAATTATTAATAGCAGCTCAGGCCCGCGGTACGTGCAGGCGGTCAGGGCCCGGCGGTGCCCCGATGGTGTGGCCTTGGGGCGCTCGCGGGGTGCCCGTCTACCGCCTCGTGGGAAGCGCTAGGACCCCCCAGGCCTCAGGGTGCGCTGAGGCTGGGAGTCCTCGGTCTTGGCCCCTCCACTGCAGGCACCATTGTGTTCTGGGCCCCGCAGATGGGTCATGTGGAAGGTCCCGGCTTTGCCCTTGCCCTGACCCCACCTCCTATCCTTCCTCCAGCTCATCAGCAATCCCTGAGCAAGGCCCTGGGACCCAGACTGTGTGGCCAGCACCCCCATGAGTCCCTGCTGCCCCATCCAGGCCAAGCCCAGGCCTCCCACCTGTCCCAGCCCATGCAAGGCCTGGCTCACCACAGGGGGGGCTTGTCTGCCAGGCCCAGTCCATCAGCCTGAGGGCCACGTGGCTGGACATGGGAAGGCCCTGCACTCCGCCCTCAGTGACCAGGCTCTGGTGCAAAAGGGTGGTAGCCCCCCCAACCCGTGGTGCTGCCTGGCCCCCTCCCAGGCCCTGAGTAATCTGCTGCCTTTGTGTTTGCCAGGCAGTCATGCTGGGCACGACGTTGAAGCTGCAGCCAGAACTTGATGTTGAAAAGGTGAACGTCTTTCTCATGTAAATTGTTTGGGTTCAAACTTGGATAATGCCCAGGTCTCTAGAAACAGTGTTTGGTGGAGGTGGGGAGTCCACCAAGCCACAGGGGGGAGAGCAGGGCCATCGGGGACCAGGGAGGGCCTCAAGAGCCCCCTAAACCGCCATCCTCCTTGCGGGCTGACCTCAAATCAGACGTAGCCGCACATACAGGCACCCTGTGTCCGGCTGTGCCCCAAAGCCCTGAGTGTGCACCCTGCAGCAGCTGGGGCCACCCCTTCCCTGGAGTGGGTACCAGGTGCCTCGAGGACACACAGCCCATGTGCTTCTGGGACCCTCTTCTGCTGCATATCTCCATTGCACAGTGGGCTGGGGGAAGCAGTCACCTGTCTAACTGAATTTCTGGACAGATGACACAGTCCTCGAACCCACAGTGTCTTCAGGAATGGCAGATCCAAGCTTCTACACTGGGAATCTGTCCCTGTCACAGGGACGTAGGTGGAACCTGCTGGTTAAGCAGGGGCGGGGCGGGGGAGGGGGGTGAGCACCACTTGGGCAGAGCCAGGTGGGGACAGGATGCATACTGGTCCCCCTAAAGAGGGAGGGGTGTCTACACCAAGGCTTTCGGGGCTGTGTTCTGGGCGATGGGTGCAGACTCTAGGTCTGCAAGAGCTGGGGCCAGAGAGGACTCTTGGGGCTTCGGATTCTGCCTGAGGACTGTGCCCCAAGGCACTGGCAGGCAGGTGGGCCCCACCTGCGGGGCAGAGGCGTTGGGGGAAGGGAGGTGAGGAGCCTTCCTTGAGGGGCTTTGTCTGAGGGAACTGGTTCTTGCTGAGGGAATGGCTGGTGTGCCCCAAGGCCCAGCGCCACAGCCAGGGACTCCCTCAGGGCCTCCTGAAGGCACCGACAGTGTGTGGGTCTTGCAGTCCTCCTCGGGAGGCAGTGCTGGTATCCTGTGCCATGAGGAGCATTTCCGGGCTGCCAGGGCTGCTGCCAGTGGTTTGTCTGGGTCCTGCCTCCTCACATTTGGTGACAAACGAGCTTCCCCAGGGCGCCCCTTGCCTCTTAGGGCCTCCAGGCCTTCACCATGGAGATGGGGATGGCCACAGAGCCCACCAGGAGCCTGGGGTGGGTGTGTGTGAGCGCCAGTTCAGGCTGGGCGAGCACTGCTGGCCCTGGACGGCCTCCGGGGCCCTTTCGTTCTGATACTTTGGCCGCTCTCTCTGGGTTGGAGGTGAGTCAGGTTTTGGCTGAGGTGGTGGAGGCTGTGGCCTGACCGTGTGTCCCCCTGCAGATGAGCGTCCCACTGCTCCTCCAGGACAAGGTGGCCCTCGTGGAGCGCTACGTGGCTGGCTTCCCGGACCTCCAGAGGAGGCTGCTGGCCCTCATGGATTCCTGGTGCCAGCCCGGCTTTGACATCAAGGATGTTGCCAGGTGAGTCCCACGGGGCACTGGCAGCTGGCACCAGATGGCATCCTGGGAGCCCTGGTTAGGCAAGGGAGTATGAGGGGGCAGCAGGCATGTGGGATGTGAGCTCTCACCAGGAGGTTCTGGTGTTTGGGTCACAGCTACCATGTGACTGCAGCCGGAGCAGCTGCCTCTGGAGAGGAGAGGCTGGGGCTGGCAGCAGCACAGCCCTCTTCTCCCAAGTGAAAAGAGTTAACTGCTCTTAGAAGAACAAAAATAATTCTCCACAGCGGCTCTTCTTATACAGACACAGCCACCATACTGCTTATTTGTTCATTCATTCCTTTGTTCTTTCATCTAATAAAATTTTTGGAAGCACTTGGTGTGTGATATCTATCAGCAATTACAGAGAAAAGGCAGCACCTGACAAGGAGCCCATATGGTGCCTGTATGGATTCAGGGAAACCGTGTGCCTGTGTGTGCATGTGTGTGTATGTGTGTGCACATGTGCATGTGTGTGTGTGCCTGCAGGTGTACATGTGTGTGCATGTGTGTATCTCCGTGTGCACATGTGATATGTGTGTTTGCACATGTTTATGTGTGCCTGCAGGTGTGCATGTGTGTGCATGTGTGTGTGCATGTGTGTACATGTGTGTGTGTGCCTGCAGGTGTGCGTGTGTGTGTGCATGCATATCTGTGTGTGCATTGGGTTCATATTTGTGCAGGTGTGTATGCATGCATATGATGTGTACGTGTGTGTGCCTGCAGGTGTATATGTGTGTGTCTCTGTGTGTGCATGTGGTGTGTGCATGTGTGCACATGTATGTGTGTGCTTGCAGTTGTGCGTGTGTGTGTCTGTGTGTGCATGTGTGTGTATGTGTGTATGTGCATGTGTGTGTGCCTGCAGGTGTGCATGTGTATGCATGTGTGTGCATGCATATCTGTGCGTGCATTGTGTTCATGTTTGTGCAGGTCTGTATGTATGCATGTGTGTGCGTGTGCGTACATGTGTGTGCTGACAGGTGTACATGTGCATGTCTGTGCATGCATGCGTGTATGTGTGTGTGCCTGCACGTGTGCATGTGCATGTCTATGCATGTGTGCATGTGCGCACATGCGTGTGTGTGTGTGTGATATGAGGGATGACATCTGGGAGGGAAGGGGCTTCCTGCTGTGTATCTGGTCAAGGTGCTCCAAGAGTGAAGCAAGCTGAAAGGTCTGTGAAGGCTCCAGGGCCCATCCACTGGCAGGCAGATCCTGGCCTCCATGCCCCACACAGCCCCAGGGTCGTCTCACTGGAGAGTCACAGGCTTAGACTTGGATGTCAGGCCTCCCCGGGCCCATCCTCCTCCCCTTGTCCTCCCTTAGATCAATGGGCAAGTCACTTCCACTTTCTGCGTTCGTTTCCTCATTCACACAATGGGGCTGAGTCCACCTGACTCAAAGCATTGCTAAGACTTTTCATCACAGGGAGCAGGCAGGGCACGCACAGAGCCAGGCCAGGCACAGGTAAGCACATAGTCAGTTGGCATCGATCCTATTACATTTAAAAAAAAAAAAAAAGACATAGGGCCGGCCGCAGTGACTCACACCTGTAATCCCAGCACTTCGGGAGGCCAAGGCAGGTGAATCACGAGGTCAGGAGATCGAGACCATCCTGGCTAACACAGTGAAACCCTGTCTGTGCTAAAAATACAAAAAATTAGCCGGACACAGTGGTGGGTCCCTGTAATCTCAGCTATTCTGGAGGCTGGGGCAGGAGAGTAGAGTGAACCTGGGAGGCAGAGCTTGCAGTGAGATCTGGCCACTGCACTCCAGCCTGGGCAACAGAGCAAGACTCCGTCTAAAAAAAAAAAAAAAAAAAAAATAGAACAAAACGGTGAATGCATTGATGGAGGTGGGAACCAGGGGTCTCATTGGGAAGAAAAGAAATATACATGGAAACTGGGAGGGTGAAAAAACCCTGCAGTGTTAGATTTCATTGCAGATACTGGTTTAAATTAATGACTTTTTTTTTTTTTTTTTTGAGACGAAGCCTCTGTCGCCTAGACTGGAGTGTGGTGGCACAATCTTGGCTCACTGTAACCTCCGCCTCCTGGGTTCAAGTGATTCTCCTGTCTCAGCCTCCCAAGTAACTGTGACTGCAGGCATGCACCAACACACTCAGCTAATTTTTGTATTTTTAGTAGAGACAGGGTTCCACCATGTTGGCCAGGCTGGTCCCGAACCCCTGACCTCAGGTGATCCGCCCGCCTCAGCCTCCCAAAGTGCTGAGATTACAGGCATGAACCACCGCACCTTCCCTAAAGTAATGATTTTTAAAATGTTTCCTAGCTCTGTGCTCTGAAAGGGCCTGGATGCAATGGCACCCCATAGCAATGGGCATACCTGGCTGCCAGCTCAGTCACCAAATGCCATTCTCCACTGAAAGAAGCAAGGGCTTTTCAGAGAATAGACTGAGCACAGAAATGACAATGGTAATGGAGTAGAACAGCTTGACTTTTAAAAGTCCACGAGTCCACAGTGATGCCCAAGGAAAGTAGGGAGGAAAGCTCTTCTTTACAACATCTTCCAGCTAACATGAAAAAGGAATGACAAAATTAAAAATCACCATATTGCAACTCTCCATAAAGTAACTGATTCAGGCATAGATCATCAAGGGATGCTAAGAAAGAAAGAGATAAAAATGTGAGTGACCAACATCAGGAATGAAAGGGGGGACATTGTTACAGACCCTATAGACATTAAAGTGGTTGTAAGGGGATATTGTTTGCAACTTAATGCAAATATACTTGACCATTTAGATGTAATAGACCAAATGCTTGAAAAATACAATTTACCAAAACTGACACTAGAAAAAATAGAACATTTGAATAGTCCTATATATCTATTAAGCAAATTAAATCCACAGTTTAAAGCTGTATCACAGAGAAAACTTTATTAGAACCCAAATGGTTTCAGTAGTGAATTTTTCAAACATTTAAGAAAGAAATTGGCTGGGCGCGGTGGCTCAAGCCTGTAATCCCAGCACTTTGGGAGGCCGAGGCGGGCGGATCACGAGGTCAGGAGATCGAGACCATCCTGACTAACGCGGTGAAACCCCGTCTCTACTAAAAAAATGCAAAAAACTAGCCGGGCAAGGTGGCGGGCGCCTGTAGTCCCAGCTACCCCAAATGGTTTCAGTAGTGAATTTTTCTTTTTTTTTTTTTTTTTTTTTTTTTTGAGAGGGAGTCTGAGTCTGGCTCTAGCCCAGGCTGGGTGGTGGCCGGATCTCAGCTCACTGCAGCCTCGCCTCCCAGGTTCACGCCATTCTCCTGCCTCAGCCTCCCTAGCTGGGACTACAGGCGCCCGCCACTCGCTGCTAGTTTTTTGTATTTTAGTATATACGGCTCACCTGGCTGTTGGGCCAGGCTGTTCTCGATCTCCTGACTCTTGATCTCGCCTTGCCTCGACCTTCCAAAGTGCTGGGATTACAGGCTTGACACCGCGCCCGGCCAGTAGTGAATTTTTTCAAACATTTAAGAAAGAACAGCTGGGCGCGGTGGCTCAAGCCTGTAATCCCAGCACTTTGGGAGGCCGAGACGGGCAGATCACGAGGCCAGGAGATCGAGACCATCCTGACTAACATGGTGAAACCCCGTCTCTACTAAAAATGCAAAAACTAGCCGGGCATGTGGCGGGTTTCTTGTAGTCCTGTAGCTACTCGGGAGGCTGAGGCAGGAGAATGGTGTGGAACCTGGAGTGCTGGAGCTTGCAGTGAGCTGAGATCCTGGCCACTGCACTCCACCCTGGCAACAGAGCGAGACTCCATCTCAAAAAAAAAAAAAAAAAAAAAAAAAAAAAAAGAAAGAAATTGCACCATGGTTGGATGCAGTGACTCACACCTATAATCTCAGCCACTTTGGGAGGCTGAGGCAGGCGGATCACCTGAAGTCAGAAGTTTGAGAACAGCCTGGCCAACATGGTGAAATCCCATCTCTACTAAAAATATAAAAATTAGCCGAGTGTGGTGGCTCATGCCTATAATCCCAGCTACTCAGGAGGCTGAGGCAGGAGAATCGCTTGAACCTAGGAGGCAGAGGTTGCAGTGAGCCCAGATCATGCCATTGCACTCCAGCCTGGGCTTCAAGAGTGAAATTCCATCTCAAAACAACAACAACAGAGTGAGAAGACACCAACAGACTGGGAGAAAATATCTGAAAAAGATGTGGGATAAAGGACTGTTATCCAAAATATACAAAGATCTCTCAAAACTCAGCAGTAAGAAAATGAACAACCCAAATTAAAATGGGCAAAGGGGCTGAGGGCAGTGGTTCACACCTGGAATCCCAACATTTTGGGAGGCCAAGGTGGGGCCAATCACTTGAGCCCAAGAGGTCGAGGCTGCAGTAAGCTGTGACTGCACCAGCGCACTCCAGGGGCAGAGTGAGACTCTATCAAAAGAAAAGAAAAGAAAATGAGGAAGTTCCTTTCTATGCTTAGTTTGTTTAGAATTTTTATCAGAAATGTATGCTGGAATTTATAAAAATGACTTTTCTGTTGAGATGAACACATGGTTTTTCTTTTTTGATCAGTTAATTTTGGGATAGACTCACTTGGCCATTAGGTATTATCTTTGGGGTAATTTTATTCTGTTTGCTTAAATTTTGTTAGGAATGTTTGCATCCATGTCCATGAGGGATCTTGGTCTGTTATTGTCTTTTCTTGTAATATATGTTTACTTTTGGTATCAGAAAAATGCTTGCCTGATAGAATGAGCTTGGAATTATTCATTTGTCTTTCAATTTTCTGGGAAAACTGTGCAGTTGGCATTACTTCTAACTGAAAACCCATTTCCTTAAAATAGGACTATTCACATTGCCTATGTCTTTTTGAATGAGCTTTGGTTGTTTTAGTCTTTCAAGGAATTTGTCCATTTTATCTAAGTTGTCAAACTTACTGGCTTGAAGTTGTTCGTAATATTCTCCTGTTATCTGTTTATTATCTGTAGACTCTGCAGTGATGTCAGTGCTCTCATTCCCAGTGCT